CCGTTGAAATCATCTGCAAAAAGGTGCCTATTGACAGCAGATTCAAACGGATTACTCTTGAAAGCCAATACAGAAATATTCCGATTGAAAGCTTTTACAAAAGGATCTCGATGAAAACATCTGCAAAAGGATTCTTATTGAAAGCATATGTAGGCTCCTCCTCCTCCTCCTCCTCCTCCTCCTCCTCTTCCTCCTTCTAGAAGGCCATAACTCTTAGGAGACGCACAAGGGGGGGGAAAAAACAACCAAAGAAACTGAAGTGCTGGAGGCGGAAACCTTAGAGCAACCATTGGGGAACGCCCCAAATAATACAAGAAACATCTAATGGGAATCCCATCCGCCCCAAAAGGGAGGTTACATGGGCGGGCGGCATTGCTTGGAAACTTTGGGTTGTCTGTTTTTCTTATTTTTTCTGGTTGTTTTTTTATTCAATGTTTTTTTTTCCAACGTTTCAGCCTCCAGCAATTCAATGCTTGTTCTCAGGGCTTTCCTGAAGTTATGACGTTCCGCTGGAAGGGGGGGAGGAGGAGGAGGAGGAGGAGGAGGAGGAGGAGGAGGAGGAGGAGGAGGAGGCGGAGGAGGAGGAGGCGGAGGAAGAGGTGGTCCATTCGGACGGGTGTTCCCTGGGATCTTTAGATTTTATTGTTTCCCAGGTGATTTCCAAAGCTTCAGCCTCCAGCACTTCAGTTTCTTTTTTTCCCCCACCCCAGGGTTTCCCTAAAGTTATTGCTTTCCCCTGGAAAGGGGGGAGGAGGGGGAGGAGGAGGAGGAGGAGGAGGAGGAGGAGGAGGAGGAGGAGGAGGAGGAGGAGGAGGAAAGTTTCGCGCAGGAGGAAGAGGAGGAACGTTTCGCGCAACCATCTTAACCTCGCGGGGAGGCGAAAACGACTGAAGCCAAACCACCAGGCCTCCTTTGCACCTGAAGCCAAGTCTCCACGCCGGGCAACGTCGCCCGGTGTCGGACCCCTGAAGGCCGTCGTGGGTCGATCCGGCGGAGAGATCCCCCTATGGTGTCGAGAACGTGCCGCGCCTGCTACGCCCTGGACGACCGGCTCGGATAGCGGCCGCGCTGAGAGACCACCCCCTGCGGACCCCCTTAAGGTTACGAGAATATGCCACGCCTGCTACGCGGATGGGCAGAATGGGAGGGAGGGGCGGAATGGGAGGGTGGGAAAGACGATGGGGGCGACAGAAACCAGGGGAGGGAGGAGGAGCGAAGGCGAAAGGAACAGGGCGGTGAGGAAATGGAAGGACGGAAGGAAGGAGAGAGGATTCTGCTCTCGAGGAGCCAGTCGCCTTTTGTGGGCACTCCGCTGCGTTGCACAAAGCCTGCGAAGGTTTTCCGATGGGCGACAGCCGCCGGGGGAGGTCGAGGAGGGAGAAGGAGGGATAATAAAAAGGAGGAGGACATGAGGGAGAAGAGGAGGGAGGAGCACAGGAGGGAAGGAGGCAGGGGGAGAACGCATCTCGTTGAAAGGGAATCTACGCCGCACAAGCGCAGAGACCCCGGCGGCGCGGCGCGGAAGCTAAAACGTGTTGCGCGTTCAACTCGAGCAAGAATGTTTACAGTCCTGCTTTGGAGGGAGTGTCACGCCGGGCATGCCCTGCGCAATGGTCCTCATAGACGCCACGCTCAGGGACCACCCCCTGCGCGCCCCCTCTGGTGTCGGGAAACAGCCACGCCTGCTACGCCCTGCGCCGTGACCCGCATGGACGCCGCGCTGGGGACCACTCCCTGCGCACCCCCTCTGGCGTCGAGAAAGTGCCACGCTTGCTATGCTCTGCGCCATGGCCCGCATAGACGCCGCGCTCGGGGACCACCCCCTGCGCACCCCCTTATGGTGTCGAGAAAATACCACGCCTGCTATTCCCTGCGCCATGGCCCGCATAGACGCCGCGCTCGGAGACCACCCCCTGCGCACACCCTATGGTGTCGAGAAAGCGCCACGCCTGCTATGCCCTGCGCCATGGCCCGCATAGACGCCGCGCTCGGGGACCACCCCCTGCACACCCCCTTATGGTGCCGAGAAGCTGCCACGCCTGCGATGCCCTGCGCCATGGCCCGCATAGACGCCGCGCTCGGGGACCACCCCCTGCGCACCCCCTCTGGCGTCGAGAAACTACCACGCCGGCTATGCCCTGCGCCATGGCCCGCATAGACGCCGCGCTCGGGGACCACCCCTTGCGCACACCCTATGGTGCCGAGGAAATGCCACGCAAGCTATGCCCTGCGCCATGGCCCGCATAGACGCCGCCATCATGGACCACCCCCTGCGCACCCCCTATGGTGTCGACAAAACCCCACGCCTCCTGTGCACTGGACGACCGTCGTGCTGTGCTGTGCTGTGCTGTGCTGAGCTGTGCTGTGTTGAGGTGCTCTGCTGTGCTGTGCAGTGCTGTGCTGAGCTGTGAGCTCTGACGTGGAGGAGGGCAGGAAGGAGGAAGGAGGGAGGTGGGAAGAGGAGGAGGAGACGCGGGTGCGACCCGACGAAACATGTGGTGAAACAGGATGTTTTTGTTTGTCCATTGGTTTTCACTGGCTTTGAATTCTTTAGGCCCTCTTCGGCCGGCCTTGGTCCTCTTTGGGGCTCGTCCGGGGACTCGTTTGGAGCCGTCCTGGGGCAATCTTGGCGCCTCAAGGGCGGATAGTGAGCGAAAAGGCGAGACGGTCGAAAACATTGATTTTCCAATGCGTTTCCATGGATCTTCAACTATTTGGGTCTTTTTCGGCGAGCTTTTGGCCTCTGTGGGCCTCGGCTTGCGCCTCTCTGGAGCCATCCTGGGGCTATCTTGACGCCTCCCGAACCGACCAGAAGCGAAAAGGCGAGAAGGCCGAAAACATTGCTTTTCCCATTGGTTTTCATTGATTTTCGAACCTCTGGGCCCTCCAGGGCCAGTCTGTGCCCTCCTTCGGGCTCCTCTGGGGACTCATTTGGAGCCGTCATGGGCTTATCTTGATGCCTCGAGAGATGTCAAGAGCCAAGCGGAAGCGACAAGGCGAGAAGACCAACAACATTGATTGTCCGATGGCTTGTTTTCTGGATTGTCAATTTGGGCCCTCTTCGGCCAGCCTTGGGCCTCTGTGAGCCTCGGATTGCGCCTCTCTGGAGCAATCCTGGGGTCTTGTTGACGCCTTTCGAGTCATGCTGAAGCGAAACAGCGAGAAGGCCAGAAACATTGCCTTTCCAATCTTGGTTTTCTGATGTCCGACTCTGCGGGCCCTGTTGGATTGTTGCGTTCCCGGGCCCTCTTGGGCCAGCCTTGGGCCTCTCTGGGGCCTGTTTTGAAGCTCTCTGGGGCCCTCCTGAGGCCGCAAGAGCCGATTGGAAGCGAAAGCGCGAGACACACTGGAGAGAAGGATGGAGGAAGGAAGAGGAGGTGGAGAAGGAGGAGGAGGTGGAGGAGGTGGAAGAGGACGACGAGGAATGAGAGAAGGACAAGGATACTGGGAACATGCAGACAGAGGAGGAGCAGGAAGAAAAAGAGGACGAGCAGGAAGTGGAGGAAGAGGACGAGGAGGAGGAGGAGGAGGAGAAGGTTGAGGATGATGAGGAGGAGGAAGAGGAGGAATTAGATGAAGAGGGGGAGATCGGAGAAAGATGATGAGGATGAGGAGGAGAAAGGAGAGGAGGAAAAGGGGAGGAGGAGAAAGAGGAGGAGGGTGCCTTGCTTCATGCAAAACCAACCAGTCGCCTGAGACGTATTCGCGCTTCTGGGCCACAAGGCGCCCTGAGCTGGCCTCTGCTGGTGTTGTCTGGTTGCTCCCGCTTAAGAATTCCTCACCCATAACGACTTGGCGGTGGCCCGCCCCGTGTCCACGCGCACTCACGCCGCTTGCATTCGAAACTACAAAGAACAAGGTGCATGGCGCGAAGCGCCACTGCAGTCTTGTATATGTGAATATATACATATTTGGATGAGAAATGTTCGGGCCCTCGTTTTGAATGCCGGACGAAACCCAGAGAGTTTGAACGAAATCGGCGTGCGCGCACGACGCGCGCGTGTGCATGTCGTCCATTTTTGTTGCAAGAGCTCCTGCGACAGCACGCGCGCAAGGGGGTCCGAACGATTTCGACATGGGCGCGCGAGAAGCCAGTTTGGTAGCAATGATTTATCTTAAGAGATCTGCAAGAGCGCGAACGTAGGCTTTTGTTGAACAACCTTGTAGCACAACCATGTGTTCAAAATGTCTTCGTGACGCTCGATTGTGACATCATCATTACGCCACCCCAGGTTTTAAAGGATTCCGGCATGCGCGCGACAGATAAGACGAAGTACGGGCGGCGATGAGGCGGCGACGGGGCGGCGAAATAGCCGCCAGACCGACAGACAGGCTCAGGTACGGGCGACGACGAGGCGGCGACGGCGGCTTAATGCCCGTCAGACCGACACACAGGCCCAGACGACGGGCGGCGACGAGGCCACGACGAGGCGGCGACGGGGCGGCGACGGCGGCGACTTAGCCGCCAGACCGACACACCAGCCCAATTCCTTAGAACAGAGATCAGAGCCCGTAAGTGCAAGCACTGTTTGGGGAATTGTATGTGGGTGCGTTCTGCGGCACCACGTGTGCTTCTGTATATATGTATATATATAGACTGATAGATATAGACAAAGGTATGCGCAGATGTGTAACCAGCAATCGAACATCAACTTAGCACAACCTGTATGATGAAGCTGTGCACAGATTTTAGACACAATCGGAATGCACCACATATGCATTCACCCGACGGGTAAAAAAGGGGAGGAGGAGGAGGAGGAGGAGACAGAGAACGTAGCCGGATGAGGATTACGACGACGGTGACAACGACGGCGCACACATTGTCGGCGCACAACAATAATGATGATGCTGATGATGCTGATGATGATGATGATGATGATGATGATGATGATGATGATGATGATGATGATGATGATGATGATGATGACGATGCTGATGGTGATGATACTGATGATGATGACGACGGTAGCAGCAGCAACGGCGACGGCGGCGTAGCAGCCCCAAAGGGGGAGGGGAGGGCGGTGGAGAGAGAACGGGGCAACCGATATTCGTTCATGCTTCACAAACTGTCTCACCGCGTGGTGCCAGCCAGCGGTTTACCGCAAACCGCCCGCCCAGCCTCCCTGGAAGCTTTTGGAGCGCGAGCCGCATGCAAAACAGCTCGGGGCCATGCCTTGGCTCCCTCTCTCGTCCCGCGCCTCGCCCCCCAAAAAGACAGGCGAGGCTCGGCGCAGCCCTGTCCCCGAGGTCGCGTCCACCCGAAGCCCGCGAGGCTGCTGTCGCAACGCCTCCAGCGGGCCTCTAGCAAAGAACGCTCTGGCAGCGCCAGCGGGCCAATACTCCACACTGCCAGGGGTCAGGAGCGGCTGCTTTCGACATGCCTGCCCTTTCCTTGCCTCCACCACCCCTCTAATTCCTTCCTCTTCTCTTGCCCCCCCCCCCCCCATCCACGCCCTCTGGACCTGCCCTCGCACAGTTACTCCTCTCCCAGCCGCCTAGTCACTCGCCGCCATCAGCCCACTCCTCTCCCTGGGGCGTTGCCGCCTCTGTTGGCCACCACCGCCTCTGCTGGCCGTCACGAAAAACAATAATTGTTCCCTGGAATGCAAAGCCGATTCTAGCCTCGACATCTCTTTCGCCGTGGAATGAAGCCTGGCTCCAATGTTCATTGGTCGGCACTGGCCCCGACTAATCCATTGCGGCGTAGTGTCGCCGAATGTTTTGGCAGCACCCACCTCTGGCTTGCCCTTGAGCCTAGGGTGTCGCCAACTTTGTTGGCCGCTTCTCCCCGATCAACCACTTGCCGCGAAACGTCGCCCACTGATGGCCGTTTTCAGCCACAATCGCCTCTTGCCTTGGGCTGTCGCTGATTCTGTCTTTTGCCGCGAGCCCCGACTGCCCCCTCACAACACTCATGGCGAACATATTTCTCCGAATGCCCTTACACGGGCCCAGGACCGTCAAAAACGACTCGGGATGAAAAACCGGCCCTGCGGAAAGGGTTGCGACTTCCGGAACCTTGCAACACAAAAAACACAACATCGCGTGTCGGTGTCTCTTAGATTGTCGCCAAGTGCGCTCGCCGCTGGTTCTCGACTAGCAGCGTCGCCGCCTCCTCCGCCTTATCCTCCTCCTCCCTCCCTCCTCCTCCCTCCTCCCTCCTCCCCCTCCCCCTGCCCCTCCTCCTCTGGTCTCTCCTCCATCCTCCTCTTGGATTCTGACGGCTTCCAAGCCTTTTTCGCACTTGCCTGGGCATCGTTTCTAGATGGGCTGGTGGGGTTACGCAGAGTGTCCAGAGCTTTATGCCTTCAAGATTTAGGGTCGTATGATCTAAGGGCCTGATGGCCTTAGGGTGACGCCGCATTTAGGTACCAGGGGCCCGATGGTAGATGGTCTCACTTTGCTGGGGTGATAACGCATTGGTGTTTACGGTCTTTGGGTATTAGTGTCTGGAAGTCATTGGGTCTGAGTGTCTCAGGGTCTTGTGGTATCAGGGTCTCAGTGTATTACTGGACTCAGGTTTCAGGGCTATTCTAAACGTCTTCTGAAGTGTGGGTGTGTGGCCTTCTGGTCTGGTCCTCGGGTGATAAGGCTCTAGGACATTAGGGCCTCCGGGTATCAGTGTCTTCGGGCCGTAGGGTCTCAGGGTTGTAAGGCCTTTGGGTCTACTGGTCTTAGGGTCTTTGGTTGGGGTATTCGGCAATTCGGGTCTTATGACCTCATGGTCGTAGCGTGTTGAGGTCTATGGGGTCTGGTGGTATTGTGGTGGCGGGGTCTCAAGGCCCGATGGTCCGAGGGGCCCATGTTAAGGCATGCGGGCATTCGGGCCTCAAGGCGTTTTGGCTTCTCTGCGCGAGGGTGTTAAGGTCCTGGTGTCTTATGGTATTCGGGCATTGCGGTCTCAGGGCCCTAGGTGTAGTCCTAGGGCGCCATGGCCGTGTGGCCTGAGGTTGCAAGTTCTGGCGCCCGCCCGCCATCCGCAGCCCTCCCCACCCCGAATGGAAGAGAAGCTTCGAGGCGGAAACCAAATCGATAGCAACGAGGGGGGAAAAGCTTCGAGGGAAAGAGTGCAGCATCGATGCCCCTCTGCCTTCCCCTCCGTGCCCCCCCCCCCCGCCCCCCCCCCCTCCCCTGCCCGAAGGGAAGCACCAGCGCCTCCCAGGCCTCCCCGCCGCCCCTCCCCCTCCCCCTCCCGAGGGCAAAGCAAGACGCCTCGGTTAGGGGGGGCAAAATATGCACATGACCCACGACTGTCGCCCCAATCCTCTTGCGACCGATTGGGATGATACGCCATGCGGTTTAACATCATTCATTTTCGCATTTCGCAGAAATCAGGGAGTGAAGTTGAAGGCCACGCTAAAGAGTTGAATCCCTGGTGGTTTCTGGGAATTCAGTCCTCCTTTACTGGATTCAAACATTCAAGCCTTCGCTTCCCAAGGGGGTCATCCTGTGTGTGTACCTTCCCGCCCCCCGCCCCTCTCTCCTCCCTCCTCCCTCTTCTTTCCTCATTCCTCCTCCTTCCTCCTTTTCCTCCTCCTCCTCCTCCTCCTCCTCCACCTCTCTCCTCTCTCCTCCATCCTCCGTCCTCCGTCATCCCTCTTCCCTCCCCCCCCGTCCCTCCCCTCCTTGGAATGACTCGGGCGATCTTGATGCCGGTCTCGCCGCCTCTCCGGGCGTAGGTGGTCTAACGATATATTTCTTTCTTCTTCCAGAAGCCCTCTTCCCTTCGGGGAGCGATGCCCTCCCCCTCCCTTCCCAGGGGTCTGGACGGAGGGGTCGGGAGTCATCAGAAGGCCCTCGTTCTGTCAAGATGGCTCCAAGAAGGCACCCGGCGCTCTAATATGGCATCCGCGAGGCCCCAGATAGCGCAAGATCGCTCAAGCTGACCTCCACCATGCTTCCAAGACGCCGCAAGAGGGCCACACACGACGGTTCCATGTGCCCTCATCGATCCCTCAGACACTCTCCGAGAAACCAACATCCTTCAAAACCCTTAAGACATCAATGATTTGTGCCTTCTCGCCTTTTCGCTTCCGATAAGTTTTTGAAGCGTCAAGGTGGCCCCAAGATGGCCCACTAGAGCTCCAAGAGGGGCCAAAGATGTCCCCCAAACGGCCCCAAGACCGCTCAAGAGCGACCCAAGATGCGATTCTGATGGCCCAGAAGGGGGAAAGGGGACTAAACGTTAGTACCCTCCTCTTTTCACGGACACCATCCACGACAGCCCCAAGAGAGCTCCAATAGAACTCCGAGACCTCTCAAAAAAGGCCTCCGCGCGGGCTGCTGGGGATACTTTTTTCCGTCGCGGCCGCAAGCGAAAGCGCAGGCGGCGTCCGAAGTCAGCACGTGCTACGAGCCAAACCTGGTGCTGGGGATATTTTTTGTTTGCGAGCGCGCAGGTGTGCCTGGCGCCGTCAGAGCGGAGCAGCAAGCCACGATCTCAATTGAGCACCGAGTGCGCGGAAGCGGACCTCGCAGCGACTCAGAAGGCGAAGGAGACCAGGAAGAGCACCAGGTCCACGTGCAACGCCAAGCTGGCGACGAGCGGGGGGCCGGCGTACTCGAGGACCACCATCACGTAGTCGAGGAGATTGAAGGGGAGTGGTGCTGGGGGCGCGCGAAGCGTGAAGAATTTGAATATGTGTGGGCCGCTCGGTCCCGCTGGAGCCCTATCGTCGGGCCAACCTTGGCACTCCTGAGAATTTCACGGGCCGTCCTGGAGGTCCTGGAGACCGGCTCAAGAAGCCCCAGTCGTACGAATGTCTGAAACTTCCAGCGCGATGTTGCAGGGATCGCCCTAAACAGTGCTGTTCGTTTTCGTTTTGTTTGCGTTCTCCGTCATTTGTCTTCAGTCCGCCTTTGCTGCAAAACGAAATCGAAACGAGCGCGGCCCACGAAATCGCCCAAACACCGTTTAGGTCGACCCCTGTGACTCTTAACTGACCGTTTCGCCACGTCGGTCGCAAAAGCGTGCAGTGCGGCCCACGAGCTGCCCCAAGACCAGACCAAGATGGCCCGATGTGGCCGAGCGGAGAGCACACGCAGCCCCCCAAGGGGGAACAACGAGCACACGTCCCTGTCGCACCGCTGGAAGCCAACCCCTCATACCTGATCCCAACACCGCCAGGAGGCCCACAATGGACCCCAAGAGGCCCCACACGCCAAGCGGTCCAGTCGCAAGGCCTTGCCCGCACCCATCAGTTCGACCATCCTCCCGCGCTGCACTTCCATCCTCACCCTTCACCCTCCCCCTCCCCCCCTCCTCCACACTCTGACTAATAACATTTCTGTGAGTTGCGTGCCATTCTCTGCCGACAGGCTCCCAGCAAAGTCAGCGTTGTAATCCAGATCCTCCATACCCTCTCCTCTCGAAGATGGCTCAGGAAGGCGCCGAGACGGGCCGAACAGGGACCGCAACGCTGACCCCCAGGACACATCAACTTAGGGGAAGAAACAATGAAATTGAAATGACAACTCGGAGGTCCGCGCGAGTTTCTCGGATCGGCGCTGGACCCCCCTCCCTGGCGCTTGGAGCGCGCCAGGGGCAGCGCCGGAGGCGCCGCCAGAGGGCCCCAGCGCCGATCCGAGAAATCCGCGCGGACCTCCTAGTTTTTATGTGTATGTCATTCTTTGTCCCCCATAAGGACACATCAAGTCTACCTCACGCCCCCGAGATGCTCTCCAGGACCGAGACCTCTGCGAACGCCCATGAGACACGTCTTTACACTCGGCAGCATGGCGCGCGGCACCCCACTTGGGAAACTGCGGCCGCCGGCCCAATCCTCAGCTAAGGAGAGAAAGGGGGAGCGTGTGGCCAACGCGAGCCCCATTCTGAAAGAGGAGCTGATAATCGAGAAAAGTGTATCAGTCTATGGTTCTGATCAATGTATGGCTCGCTGTTTCATCCCACTCGAGTGTGCGACGACTGGTTGCCTTGAGAGCCGGCCTAAAGCAACGCGGCACGCTAAACGTGGAGCCTTGAGCCAACGCGAGCCCCACGATGCCCGCCAAGCTCGTCCTGCAGAAAAGCCCCTGAGCTCCCAGGACGCCCCTCCTTGCCTTCAGACCAGCCTCGCCCAAACGGTGGCGCAGAGAAAGAGGGAGAGATAGAGAGGCAGGGGCCACAAACTACAGCAGCCAGCCGAGACATCGACAAACTCTGGACACTCAGCGCAGCACGAAGCGGAGCTCGCTGAGGAAGAACTTCGCTCGCTGTGGGGGAGGGCAGACGCCATCCCGTCGCAGGGGCTGGGCATCGTGCCCCGAAAAGCGCGGTGACGGAGCCCGAAACGTGCGACGGCGCGGCTGCAACGGGCAAGGGGCGGTCAGGGCAAGCTCCCGCCGTGACGACGTCGACTCTTGTTTCTGACTGACGCCCGCCTCCCTCCGCTTCCGTAGAACCCTCCTGGATCCTGGATGGGGTCCGAGTAGATGGGGTCGAAGGATCACGCCACATCGCCGATGCATCGCCGATGCCGCATCGCGGACGCAACGGCGATGCGGCGCGATTCTACGACCCCATCTGGGAGGCTGATCACAATACCGCCCACGATCACATTGACATCCGTCCACAGTCCAAGGTCACATAAACGTTGAGCCAATGCGGCTAGAGCCAGCATGGTTTGAGCTTGTTAGCTCGGCATCTCTTTTGGGCGCTCGATAAGCATGTTTGGGTGTTATTGGAAGTGACTTGGGGGTCTCTGAGCTGTCTCAGCGAATCGTGGGGCCTTCTGGGGGCGTTCTTTGGCCGTCCTGGCGCCCGCTTGGGCCTCCATGGCGCCTCTTGCACCGTCCCGGGGTCGTGTGTTGGATCTTTCTGGCCCGTTTAGGGGCTTTCTTCGGGAGCGAGGCCTCTGAATCGCCACTGGCTGTCCTGACCCGAACCGACCACCGACCCAAGGCAGAACATACCTAAAGGAGGGAACCTGCGGTGGTTCGAGTGTCATGCGAGAGCAGTGGGCAAGTTCGACCGATTTGCCTAGCATGGACATTCGCCTCGCTGGCATGTCCGTCTGAAATGTGACTTGTGCGCTGGGTCCAGCGGCTAGCCTGACTCTCCTTGTTTTGCCCATGCCTCTTCATCCTCCTCGCCTCCATTCACGTTGGTGGTCTTGTCGTATCGGCAGTATCCAAATGTATCGTCGAACATCAGCTTTCAATCTTGAACTTGCATTTTCAAAACCTGGTACAAACTTTCATAGAAAACTGCAGCGACCGATCGCTCAGTCTCATACCCCAGAATCTAGTTTGAACACTTGCAACGATTGAACCTGTACTTTCGAACTCAATCAATGGGCTAAGCTGCAAATTCATTCGTTGCATGGGCTTTGAACACAAAGAGCATTCCAATCAATTCGATGTCCTAGGCAAGCCCGCGGTTTATATGGCTCGCCTCGTTCAGATTTCCAGGGACGGCTTCAAATTTCCAAGCTGGCTGAGGGAATATTGGAGCACATGGGGTCGCAATGTTGACAAATCCATGTGCGTGCCACACTGCGAAATTCGCAAGACAAATTGACTTGCTGGCGATTCCGATATGCGTGGGCCATGCCGGACACTCGCCTCACTGCGTGCATGCTTCAGATTAATTGGCGGGCATCCGTCAATAGAAGGTACCTCATGTCGTCGAATCTCATCTGTACCACAAAGCGGTCCTGCACGGTTTCCCCCGGGGCCGTAGGCGACCCGAGGAGGAGAAGGTGGAGGATGGGGAAGGGGGATGGGGAGGAGGAGATGGAGGATGAGGATGAGGATGAGGAGGAGGAGGAGGAGGAGGAGGAGGAGGAGGAGTGGGAGGACGGGTCGCCTCAGCCCTCCGGAGAAACCCTCTAAGCGGTCCTGCTCGGGGGCCAGCGCTATCGCCACAGATGCCGACAGGCAGGCCGGCGCAGTGCGCAGCAGCGGTGGGCGGAAGAGGACGGCCTGCTCGTGCGCCTGCCAGCTGGGCTCGGCTGCCTCCCTGTCGAGCTTCTGGTACGTTGTTTGCACCCAAGAGATTGCTGAGCATTCTCTTAGGGTGGGGGGCTTAGGGTGAAATCCATATGGGACTTGTGCACCTCGAGAATGAATCCGTCTTGTGATTCACATTTTGCAGATTCAGGCCTCGGAAAATTCATCGAAACGGCATTTCAGATTTCACCCTTTGCCTTCCACCCGAGGAAAGTGCTCGGGATTAGATTCTCACGGACATCTGGATGGATCCAGCGAGTGAGGCTGCCCAGCTCGGAGGGCGCGTGATCTTGAGGGCGATCGACAGAGGGGGATTGGCTCATCGGGTGAAGCATCGGCCTGGAATCGGCGATGAATCGCCGATAGCTCGCGGTGATAGGCCCCCGAAAGCGAATCCGCACGTTCCTGGGCGGGGTGGGCCATCGGGCCCATATCTATATGCGATCAATGGGAAGTCGGGTGTCGATGCGTCCCCTCCGATCCCGCCTATCCCTCCCTGACTTTGCCCCTGACCTTGCCCCCAGAACAACTCGAAGCAGCTGGCAGCTTGTAATATGCTCCACTTGGCCGAGACCACGTCGAACCATATATACACGCTTGCACCGCACCGCTCCTGGGGAGACCAAAAGGTATTGATACCGCTACTCCGCGGACCTCTCCCGGGGCGCGTTCTGACGAGAATTTCGAAGCATACCCAGCGGTGACGACGAGAGCCTCCCAGGAGGTCGAAAAAGGGGAACACGAGGGAAGGGGAGAGGTATGGGTACGTACCTTTCCTCCTCTGAGCTTTGAGCAGGGACCAACCGTCCCAGCATTCCTATAGGCCTACCACGACATGTTCTTAGAACCCACAAACGTTTCAACAACAAAAACACTGTTCATAGAACATAAGCCCGATGCGTTAAAACAAGACAGCCTCGGCCAGAAATGTTCTGATAACATTTCGTGCTGACCACAAAAGATGATTATAACATCTTTCGATAGGCCTATCGGCAAACCAGGACGCTTCGCCGCTGCTTGATGAGCTCCAGGCCCGCGTGCTCGGGCACGGCCGGTAGCCTCTCGCCTGGGCGGCCGCTGGAGCCCTTGGTGCCCCTCTTGCAGCTGCCGCTGCCCGTGGCCACGCCTGCCGGCGGAGGGCCCGGCCCCTCCTGGGGCAGGAGCGGGCTGCACCGCCTGCTGCAAGGAGCCAAACAACGACGTAAACATAAAAACTCGGAGGTTCGCGCTGATTTCTCGGATCGGCGCTGGACCCCCCTCCTTGGCGCGCGGAGCGCGCCAGGGGCGGCGCCGGAGGCGCCGCCAGGGGGCTCCAACGCCGATCCGAAAGATCCGCGCGGACCTCAGAGTTTTCATGTCTGTGTCATTCTGTGTTCCCAATGCTGGAGGTCCAAAACCCGTGCGGTGACAGGCCGCGCGGTGAGCTCGAAATCCTCCAAGAGACCTCACCGCACAGTCCGTCACCGCATAGTTTTGGGACCCTTGAGGCCCCCGTCGCCCGAGACGTCCTCGGAGAATGGCCCCCAAGTCCCCCAACTGCGGAGCAGCTCCCAATCACCACCAACTCACCGCACGGTCCCATACATGCGATGTCCTGTTTTTTTCAATGCGCGGTCCCCGGAAGCCCCGACCCTTTCCCCAGGGCTGGATTCTCATCCCGAATCTTTTTTTGAGGGCCCAGGGGCCCAGTAAAGGTCCCCCGAGGCCGAACATAGCAAAGACTTCCTGTTCTGAATTATGTACGGTCGGGCTGATGCAATAAGGAACGTTAAACGAGGAACGAAGACCCTTTTCGGCCCCAGGGGCACCTGCGTGCACGAGGAGGGATAGAGGAACAGCCATAGCCATAGAAGGACCTCAGGAACATCGAGCCCCTTCCAACCCAAACTGTTCTTTGTTTCAACGTCTTGACTGTATGGCCCTCCCAGTACAGCCTGGGCCAGTTCTCGGGGAAGCCTTCGAGGTCGTCTGGGGAAGCTCTCGGCGGAGCTCCAGGAGGGAGCGGCGCGGCCGCCGCGGGCGCCCAGTGGCACGAGCCGCTGGAACCGCTCGCGCCCTCGAGGATGCGCCCGCTCGCCACGCGCGCGGGATCCCACCGGAGCACTCGGCTGAGCTCGGCGCTCACCTGGGCGACGATCAAAAACTGGTCTTACGCGAGATGACACAGCAACCTCACGCGGTGGCTCACGCGGGCCGCCGCGGCACGCCACTTCGGAGACGAGGGCGCTCACGCGCGACCTTACGCGGGCAGCTTGCGCGGCGCCGATGTCGGCGCAGACGACCCCCTTTTTTGTGCGTCGCTCACCTGTTCGGAGCTGGGCCTGGCGGCCGGCTCCTTGCGCGTGCACCACTCCACCACTGCGCGACTGCGCTGCGGCAGCCATTCGCTGTCGCAGCTGGCTGGCCAGTCGAGGCAGGGCACCGAGCCACGCTTGAGCGAGCGTGCCACGTCTTCTGTGCGCGTGCCGTGGAATGGTTTCTCCTTTGCTGCGATGAAGAACAAGAGCTGGCCCATTGAATATACATCCGCGGCCGCATCGGGTCGAACATGCTCGTGTTGGAAGAGCTCCGGGGCCCTCCAGCGAGTCGTCCCGCCCAACGACTGTGATGAGCGCGTGAGAAGGCGAGACAAGCCGAAGTCCAAGAGCTTCGCGCAGGCAGACACACATTCATCGATCGCATCCGTGCCAGATGGGCGCACAGTCACCTGCTCTACGATCACGTTGGAGCTCTTGAGGTCGCCGTGCACCACAACAGGCTTCCTCGAGTGCATGTAGCGCAGCGCGTTCACTACGTCGATCGCGATGCTGACTCTGTCTGACTGGCTAGGGTAAGAGCTCGAGGCCTGGCAAATGAAATCGGTGAGCGTCACGCCGCGGACAAACTCGAGAACGAGAAATATGGTCGTGAGACTGTCATTCAAGCAGGCACCGTACAGAAACATGATGTTCGGGTGCCGAAGCCGGCGCAAGATCCGCAGCTCGTTGCAGAGGCTGTCGAGGCCCCTGTCGGTCAGCCAGACGTCCTGCTTGGGCGCCTTTATCGCCACAAAGGTGCTATGGTACAGGCCACCGGTAACCACACCAAAACTACCCTCTCCGAGCGAGCGACCTGACAGGGGCACGACGTCCGACTCCCTGATCGTGGGCGACAAACATATCCGCATCCGCGGCCTCGCGGGCCGCCCCCCTGGGCCGCGACCCCGCGGATGCTGGGAGCTTTGTTCGCGCATGCCGAATGCGTAACGCCTCCGTAAGACCGCGCATCCACGGGATAAGCGCCCCGGAGTCCAGACCACGAGGGCGCGGATGCGGACAGGTTCGCCGCTCGTGACCTGACCAACCAGCCCTCCTTCTCGCCAACGGCCCGCATGGCTAACAGGCTGCCGTCGCCCGCGACCTCGAAGGCCTGCCCGGAAGCGGTCGTGTCGGGGCGCGAACACTCCGAGGGTTCCCCGCCCTGACCGGTCGTGCCGGCCTGGCGCTCGCAGAGCTGGAACTCCGCCTGAAACCTGTCGGTACGATCGTTACGATGACGATGACGACGACGATGCCGATGACGATGATGCTGATGATGCTGCCAATGATGATGATGATGATGATGATGATGATGATGATGATGATGATGATGATGATGATGATTATGATGATGATGAGATGATGATGATGATGATGATGATGATGATGATGATGATGATGATGATGATGATGATGATGATGATGATGATGATGATGATGATACCTTAGAGGGCCCTGGAAACGACTGGGCCGTTTTTTTACCGGTTCCGTTTTGCCGTTTTTGTTGCCGGTTCCGACGCCGTTTTTTTACCGGTTCCGTCACCGTTTTTTGACCGGTTCTGGCTCCGGTTCCCATCCTGGAGCCGTTTTTTTGCCGTTTCCAGTCGGCGTTTTTTTGCCGTTTCCATTTTCAAGGGACATTTTTTTGGAAACGGTGAAAAAACGGCCCTGCCGTTTCCGGGGCCCACAAAGGATGATACTGATAATAACGATGCTGATGATGATGATGGTGGCGATGATGATGATTATGATGATGATGATGATGATGATGCTGACGATGCTGGTGCTGCTGCTGATACTGATAAGGATACCGGTAATGCTAATGATGATGCTGGTGATGATCATCATAATGATAAGTACCCCGATGATGATGATGATGATGATGATGATGATGATGATGATGATGACGATGATGATGATGATGATGATGATGATGATGATGATGATGATGATGATGATGATGATGGTGGTGCTGATGCTGGTTCGGTCGAAATGGGTACGAAAAGAGTTTGGTACGAGGACCGACACCAGTTCCTGCGCATCTTGAACAGGCCTCGCTGTCGGTGCCGCCGCGGGCGTTGTCCATTTGAGGCAGGAGGCCGCCTGCCCAACAGCGGCCTCTCTTGGTTTTGGACAAGAAATGCTGATGGGCATCGTTCCCCATTTCTTCCCCCCGTGACAGGTTGGGATTCTTAGACTTTAAAACCAAACCGCCCGGCCCGCCCACTCTGCATACCACGGCTGCCAGATCCCCAAGTCCACCGAGAGTACCCTGGCTCCCGCCTCGCGCCGAACCGCCCACTCATGCATACCCCGGCTGCCAGATCCCCAGGTCCACCGAGAATCCCCCGAGAGTCCCGCGCCGCGCCTTCGACGAACACGACAGGACCTGGCATAACCGAACGAACATCGCGACAGAACAGAGCATAACACAGCAACACATAGCATACCATAACTGGTTACACCATCATATACCATAGCATATCACACCATACAATAGCACAACATCGCCCAACATATAAATGCCAGACTATAACAACGCATACCATGACAGATATGAGACGTACCGTGCCAATTAGCAGTTAGCAGAACATCGCAGAACCCCCACAACAGAGCGTAACAGAATGTGCAAAAACAGAACACACCATAACACACACACCATAACGGACCAGATATACATCGCATGACAGGGCATATCCTTACATAAAAGACATGGCACATACTACCACATCATAATAGAAACGATGATGCCGTAACTAAACATGCCACACCATATCATAGCATGTAGCATGACCACGACACATGGAATTACACAGCACGGCACATAATACATATTCAGAGCTCGGCATAACATTATATACACTAGCAACATTAAAACAACGAACATACCCCAATATGGCATGAATGAACATAGCAATCCATGACGCATCGCCGATCATAACGTAAGAGAGCATCACCTACCATGACATGACAGAGATAAGTGGAGCACATCTCACCACATCATAACGCCACATGCCATGAATGCTGTACCACTGCTACCACGAAGGCAACGCATGTCCTATACCACCATAGACGTTAACCTGCTGCATATGCGTCACACAGCATAACGGTTCATGCATTCAACACATCACAGTATACAAACATACTATAACATAGTTGTCCGACAACCGCTGCCACTACGGCAACGAGTTTCGTATAATATCGTCGACTCGAACTTCTTTGAACAGGTATGGCACAACATAACATATCGCACTATACTATAACAAGCTGATTACAGCGTAACCAACACACATGAACATAGCATAGCATTTAAGCTATTTGGAAACTTTGTTTGCCCCATCCGACAGGTCTCCCGCCCACCCACCCTGCATACCGCGGCCGCCAGATCCCCAGGTCCACCGAAAATCTCGGAGACTCCCGCCCCTCCAGACCCGACGCTCCCACTCTGCATACGGCGACCTCCCGATCCCCAAGTCCACAGAGTCCCCACGACTCCCTCCTCTCCAGACCCGGCCCGCCCACCCTGCATACCGCAACCGCCAAATCCCCAAATCCAGAGAATCTCCGAGACTCCCGCCTTGCAACGACCCGCACACTCCTGCATACTGCGACCGCCCAATCCCCAGGTCCACCGAGAATCCCCGAAACTCCCGCCCCTCCAGACCCGACCCGCCCACTCTGCATACCGCGGCCGCCAGTCTCCAAGTCCAAGGAGATTCTCCGAGACTCACGCCCGTGTGAGCATGACAGAACATATCTAACAGCCGAGGGCATAACAGAAGAAACATGACATGACATACCATTCGACCTGAACAGAGCATGCCAGAACAGAGCATCGCATAACATTGCAACACAGGGCATGCCAATGCATACAACGCACGCTGTGGCCCAGCGGAACATACATCGCATAGAGTAGCATCACATGGCGTAACATAAGACTGCACATCATATCATGACAGAATCCGCACTTGTCAAAACACAACAAAATATGTCAATACATCGCATGACACGTCGCATATTCCATAGCATGCCATACAATGACAGAGCGCGGCATACCATATGCGATGCTTTCACTGAATGCAGGCATACACCATGCCACAACACAGCGTGATATACAGTATCATGCAAGAACACATCATCGACCATCATTCAGTGGCAAACCACTACAAGTCAGAACGGATCGTAAGAGTCCAGCATCACATACCCAATCATAGCATCTCATATTGGTTGAACGAGTGCTACCACGACGGCAACGGATGTAATCGAATATCATGGGCTGATACGTATCGAAGGCGCTTATCATGACATCCGCCCCCGTGCCGCTGGGCACGGAGTGGGCGTGTCCTCAAGTACATTGCCTCATCCCCTGAGCCTCAATCCTCGACCCTGAGTGCCCATGAGGAGCCCAGATCCCGAATTCACAAATCTCCTTGGGCTTGCCGCGTGCCCTGTGGGCCTTGAAGTGTCTTCTCGCGTGACTTGTTCGGACTCGTGCGGGCCAAAAGACGGGCCAAGAGATCCCCAGGTTTACCGAGAGTTCTCGAGACTCTCGTCCCTCAAGATCCGACCCGCCCACTCTGCATACGGCGACCGCCAAATCCCTAAGTCCAGCGAGAATCTCTGAGACTCCCGCCTCGCAACGACCTGGTCACTACTGCATACCGCGACCGCCAGATCCACAGGTCCACCGAAAATCTCAGAGACTCCCGCCCCTCCAGACCCGAACCGCCCACTCTGCATACCGCGGCCGCCGGATCACCAGGTCCACCGAGAGACCCCGAGACTCCCGCCCCTCCAGACCCGACCCGCCCACTTTGCATACCGCGAGCGCCACATCCCCAAGTCCACCGAGAATCTCCGAGACTCCCGCCCATGTGAACATGACAGAACAGATCTAACAGCAGAGAGCATAACAGACAAACGCAAGACATAACATTAAATACGAATTGAACGTAACATGCCAGAACCGAGCATGGCATAACATTGTATCACAGGATAGGGCATACAAATTCCATACCAACGCACGCAGTGACACAGCGGAACATGCATAGCATATTGTAGCATCACACGGCGTGATATAACACTGCATTGCATACCATGACGATACCAATACATACCATAAGACAGCATAACAGATCGAACCATCGCATGCCATGTCGCAGATAACGCCGCATGTCATACAATGACAGAGCGCGGCATGACACAAACTATGGATATGCTTGGGCTTGCCGCGTGCCCTGTGAGCCTTGAAATGTCTTTTCGCGTGACCCGTTCGGACTCGTGCGGGCCAAAAAACGGGCCAAGAGGGCCCCAAGAGGCCCCCAAGACGGCCCAAGAGGGCCCCACGTTGCCGAGCGATCGCTCCAAGACGCTAAAGATGGCCCCCAGACGGCCGAAGAGGCCTCCAAAACACCCCAAGACGCCTCCACGAGGCCTCCCAAGAGGGTCCCAAGAGGCCAGAATAAATATGATTCTTTGCGTTTTTGAATTGTTTTGGCGTTCTCGCCTCCTCGGCTTCCTGACGCTCCCAGACGGCCCTGGAGGCCCCCAGGATCGCCACAAGACGGCCCAAGAGGCCTCCACGACACCCCAAGACGCCTCCAAGAGGCCTTCCAAGAGGGCCCCAATAGGCCCAAATACTTGTTTTCTTCTGGCGTGTTTGAATTTGTTTGGCGTTCTCGCCTCCTCGGCTTCCCGACGCTCCCAGACGGCCCTCAATATCACCCCAAGACGGCCCAAGAGGCCTCCAACAGGGTCCCAAAACAGCCCAAGACGTCTGAAATGACTCTGGCAGGTCATATAGCATCCAATCCCATGTCGAAGGAATACGATATGGGGAGTGGATGGATAGGATGGGATAAGATCGATGTAGTGATCTTTCCAGCAAATAGCGAACACTAAGGTAAGTGTCCGGGCAAATAGGGCGCGCGTGCCTTGAGCCAAAGCAGCGGCGCGCAGACTATACTCCCGATCCTCTATAACATCTCCCAGAGAGCTACCCTTAAAGTCGGGAGGGGAGGAGACGGAGAGTAAAGCCGCGCAGCCGCTAGGCTCTAGAAAGGCCGCGTGCGCAACTGTTTGCAAGAAAACAATACGCGCAGTCTGGTCGACCACCAGACTGAAGGGCGAGATTATTCGCCGGCGAGTTTCCTCGCAAAACTTTTCCACGCACGCACAGGATAGCCCGTTGGATATACAAGGGCTATCGGCCCGGCTAGAGGTAAGCCAAACAGGCTATTCCCCTCCAGGCAAAAGGGTATTGAGGCAAAGAGCCTGAACCAATCTGAACAGGCTCGTTGCCAAGCGTGAAAAGTATGGCTCGTTTCCGAGCAGATAGGAGGGCGCCTCTGCATTAGGCGCCCGTGCTGGCAAACTGGACCGCGGGGGCAACAAGGACAGACTAAAACTGATTCGACTTAGGTTTGTTTTTGTCCTCGGGGCCTCGAAAGGGAACAAACTGCTTCACGTCATACTTAAATGACTGAGTGCCTGACATCACTTCCAAAATCAGCTCCCGATCGATACTCCCCTTTGTATGCCCATCTGCGGTCATATCTCTAGTGTCACACCACTGTACGTTATGCACTATACCTATATCCATGAGCTCACGTATCCAGCTGATATGTCCCAGCAAAGTACGTTCCGTCGGTATCTGAAGGTCTTTGCTGGATCGCGATTTGTGTACAGACTCAGCGTCTATAGTAAGGGGTACTTTGATAGCTAGGCCTCCAACCTCGCGCATATCTCGTAGTTGTCGTGGAGTACGTGCTCCGGCCTTGAGCTCGTGGAGTGATGAACGTGGGATAACACTCATCAAGATTATGTGCAGCTGCAAGTGCCTCAGCGGCATAGCTGGACCTCACCTGCAGTCGGTGTGATTTGCATAGTCCGTCGCATAGACGGATTTGCCTTGATGCGAGTTTTCTCGCCGTAACACGTTAGGCCCACGAATGCCGTAGCCCTTAGTTTCATCGTCCTCCTCCCCGGTGAGTTTTCGATGCCCCGAATCACTGTGTATGTCTACTTCATTCGTCGGTTTTTATCCGAGGGAAGGTGATGCGTTTCGGGCTGCTGATCAGCTCTCGCTTCACAGCATTCAGTCGTCTGACTTGTAAGTT